GGTATAGATTGCTCACTTCTCCAAAACACTCCCCTTGAGAGGAACCCCCCAAGAAAAAAGGTGTGGACTCAAAAAAGGTGACATCCATAGTAACATACCGACTCTCGGAGACTAGATCATAACAACAATACCCCTTCTGATTTCTTGCATACCCAAGGAAGACACACTTCTTCGCCTTAGGATCTAACTTTGAGCGGTGAGGACCAAGAACATAGACAGAGCATACACATCCAAACGCCCTTAGAGGAATATGGAACGTCTACCCCTCAGGAAAAAGAAGGTTGAACGAAGTGCTACATCCAAGGAAACAAGAAGGCACCCAATTAATCAAGAAAGCAGTTGTAAGAACTACACCCCAAAAACGAACTGGAACAGTAAAGCTCAACATCATGCTTCTTGCTACTTCCACAATGTTTGTTCTTCCTCTCTACTACACCATTTTGTTGTGGAGTGTATGTACAACTGTTCTAATGGACTACACCATGCTCCATTAGGTATGAGGCCAGGTTTTTTTTCAAAGTATTCCTTGGCATAATTTGATTTAAACACTTTCACTCGTACCCCAAACTGCATCAACACCATCTGATGGAATTGTTGAACCAAAGATGGTACCTCATTAAATATATCCAAGAGTATCGAGAATAATCATCCACAAACAGAAGAAAATACTGATAGTCACCCATAGAGGAAACATGGTATGGCCCCCACACATCAGTATGAACAATGTCAAAAACATCTTTTATTACTTGCTTTAAAGGAATGTCTACAATGCTTTCCAAGTTGACAACCCTTACACTCCAAGTTGGACCAACTGACTGACTCAAACAATTTGGGAAACAAAAAACACAAAGAAGAAAAAGACAAATGCCCTAACTGATTACGCCAAAGCATAATCTAACCCACTGACTTTGACTCAATGCTCCTGCTGACATGGTGACTCTGATGATTGGGAAGCACATCAAGAAGATAAATTCCATTCACCTCACAACCACTCCCAATTGTCCTCTTTGATTCTAGATCCTGCAAAACACAATAAACCAGGAGAAAACTCAACAGTTCAAATTCTTTATCAAGCTACTAACATATATAATATTAGTGCTCAATCTAGGAACATGAATGATAGAAGGTAAGGTAATGGTACCGGTTATCCTGACAGACCCTTCCCTAACAATGGGAACATGTGATCCATCTGCTGTGGAAACTCTTATCTCTGCCAGAGCAGAGGTGGTCTGAGAAGAAAATGGTGGAAATGTTGGTCATATGTTTCGAGGCTCTTGAGTCTATAATCCAGGGAGGTCCTCCCTTACCTGTAGTGGATACATAAGTTGTAGTGGCATGTGAACTACCTGTATATGCAAACGAAGTAGAATGGCTACCTCCTGATCCACATGCACCTTACTGTTCTCCTAATAATGAGTTAGAACTGGTTGTACCCTCTAATTTAGAAACTATCCATATCTCTCCAATTCGGCCCTCACTGCAGTTGTTGCAACAGACTCTAGAGAAGTTGTAGTAGGTGGTCCCGATAAATCACAAACCACTGCCATATTCACATTTCCCTTCTTGTTTCTAAGTCGGCTCGGTACAAGGTGTGGGTAAAGCTTCCAGCAGGTATCTCTAGTGTGTTTAGGTTTCTTACAGTAGTCACAGATCATATCCTTTTTGTCCTCCTTTCTCAGTTCATTTCCACCCTTGTCCCCACTCGATTTAGGCTTCACTGTGCTAACCATAGCTGACTGCTCAAGGTTTGAGTTCTTCATCATCACATTCCTCCTACTCTCCTCTTCAGACACAAAGGCATATGCCTGAGAGAAAGTTGCACTGTATCGAGAAAGAATATGTTGCCGTACAATGTCATACTTAGGATTAAGTCCAGCTAGAAACTCAAAAACCTTATTCTTCTCTACCAACTTCTGATAAGTTGTTACTTTCCCAAACCACAGTCTCTAGATGGTCTATTTCCTGCCATAAGGTTTTGAGGGTTGAAAAATAAATAGCAATAGACTTTCTCCCTACCTAGTAGCAATCACCTCGTTTTTCAATTGGTAGGCTCTAGCAACATTCCCATTCTGTGAATAGGTTTCTGCTACTCCATCCCAAATCTCATTAGTTGTATTAGCCCATGAAAATTATTACTTATATGGGGTAACATGGAATTGCATAGCCAAGTCATCACTATGTAGTTCTCCTATACCCACCGGGAGTGGTTAGTTTCAAGTTTCTTTTCCTCACCGGTGACATACCCCAATTTCCCACGAGCACCAATGGCCATCTTTGCAGATTGTGACAATTCTAAATAATTTGTACCATCCCCCGAAGAGGTCTCCAGTACCTCCTCCCTTAGATCCCATTTCACCTGCAAATTTGTTTTCAACTCCACAGCCCTCCATAACTCCTACAATAGATTAAGAAATCAATTTGAGATGAAAAGAAAGGTAATTATCTCCTTTAGAAACCTCAAACACCTTCCTGGTACCTTAGAAGCCCCTCCCTCCAAAGATCCCCTTTTCCGTGGGAGCGGGAGAAGAGAAAGAAGAGGTTGACGCTCCCTCCAAAGACATCCAAAAAGGTTGGGACTTGAACCGCCCCCTTCAAAAAACCTCAAGGAACCCTAGAAAACTAGAGTGCCACTTCCTAGGTCAAAATTGAAGAGTCCTACTAAATCAGGGCTCTTCCCCTTTCTCCAGTTCTTCCTAATTTTGGTGTTAAACCCTAGACCAGTTACAAGGAATTGCAAATCCACCAAAAAAAAATCCAAAAACTAGGCTTACCTAAAGTCTTCAATCAGCCCTTTACCTCATCATGCAGTCGGCCAATTTAGGGTTGCATGATGGAACAGCTCAAAAAATCTTTAAACTTGCTCCGGTACCAAGTAGAAAAGTTTGGATGACCTGTTTTGATATAAAAACTGTAAAAGAAAAAAGAGAAAGAGAAGAGAAGGTTTCAGCTAAGAAAGAAAGAGAAGAGAGATAGAATAGAATGGGAGAAGCCAAAAAATTAAGTCCGGCCATCCCTTTCATTAGATTATATACTCACAAATAAAAGAGGGTACAAAGACAAGTATGCCCTTAGTAAGTCGGCTACTTGTAAGAACTAAATAAACACTCTTAACTTAAAAATAAACTGATGGGACTAAGGCCCAAAAACTCCCCAACTATGTTATATAAATAAAAACAAGTAATATCAGCCCCAAACTCGACACAAACCAGGCAATTTAATATAAGAATAGTGAAATATGGTATTACAGAGACAAAAAACAGCAAGAAATAGTGTTGGGGCAAGATTAGAACAAGAGAAAAAGAAAGAAGGGAAGAGAAGAGAAGAGAAGAGAGAAGGAGAGAACCACCGAACTATATTTGAGAGAGATTAGAACGACTTAATCTCCTCATAACAGTCGGCCCACCTTTATCTTAGCATTAAATAAATGAAAATTACAAGTATAGCTTTAATATAAAAAAGATAGTGGACTGCAATGTCCTTATTCTAAACACATAATTACTTAATTACCCTCCTGCCCAAGTACACCCAATATAACACTCTTTCAACATGATCAGCCCCTTAAATCCCCATACAAACTGCCAATCCTAGTAGTGTATGGGCCTTGTACGTGGAGAGAAGGCAAAACTTGCTCTAGGACCAAGATATCTTGTATGCAGTTTAAATAATCAATAACAAACAATAATTTAAGTAGAGAAAAATGCAGAAAAAAAATGGAGGAAGAAGAAAAACAGGGGAAGAAAAGAAAAGAAAACAGTTAGAGAACTTCTTGGATGCGTGCTATATATTATGTGCTGTATCAACATAAGAACGGATGGAAATACCCCAGTTAGAGAACTTCTTGGATGCGTGCTATATATTATGTGCTGTATCAACATAAGAATGGATGGAAATACCCGTCTGCAGGCTAGATAATAACTTCTCATGTAAATGACATAAATATCCTCCTTTAAACACTACAATCCTCAATAAGATTAGAGACCTAATCTGTAGCTTCAAGAGTGAACATCTAGTTCAGATGGATTCCAAGATATGCCAGTTATGTGGCTGATGGAATGATTAGGGAGGGGTACTCTATATTGGGGATCCGCCCTCCCTTTAAATGAGATATTTTCTTTCATTAACTTTCACTATCATTCTAATTGTAGTCTAGTTTGGTCTCACATGAAATCTTCCTTTCTGAGCATTCTTCAAATGTGGTAAGACAAGTATACCTTCTTTCTTCTTTAATCTCTTTAGCAAAAACTTCTAGTCAAGGGGCCATTACCTAATGCTGCTTCCAGCTTTCTGGGGTCTTGGGAGTTGGGAGGGGTGGACTAGATACAGGGACCTAACTTTGGGCACATTCTCACACTTGTCAGCCCAAAATTTTACCTACTGCAGCAAGCAATGGCCCCTTTAATGAAAAATTTTAATCAATGAACCAAAAATAGAATAAAAGGTTAACAACCAAAGAGAGGAGAATGGCAGAAGCAAGGTGAGGAAGGGAAAGGAGGACAAAGTCATTGGAGTTAGAAGAACAACAAAAGTTGTCACATATTGTTATTGGTCACCCTCCCCCCAGCTAAACAGGGGCAGCAGTCTGTCTATGACCATGGCTTATCGAATCAAATGTCAACATCGTCATCATCATCCAAGATTTATCCTAACTATATGGCGTTGTCCCTATTACAAATGTGTAGCAGCATTAGCAATTTGTCCCTATTACATAAATTGAATCTTCCATTATCCTCCGGTTAACTCGAATGTTGAAAAAAATCCATTGGATATTCTTTTCTAAATATTTATGGAACATTTGAGTCCGATCTGTTTACTATTACACATTTGGTTTCATGTTTCTTAATAGCATGGTCATTGCCTTTTTTTTATTGGTAAGCATTTTCATTGTTTTTCCTTCTTTTTTTTTCTTGTTGTATTTTAATTAATAGATTTGCAAATTCCATTAAACAATGTAGAAATTCCATTTCAAGAAAATTTTAAAAAGTTTCTTTCTTTTGGCACAGAGGATCTAATAATCCAAGTAGTCTGGCTGAATGTAATATCATAACTGCAAGCTTGGATATCTTATTAACAATGGGGCTTCATGTCTTATGCTTCAAAGTTCAAACTCCAGAGTTCAATTATGGATTGCAGGTCAAAAATTGTTCTTAGGGTATGGTTACTGGAAGTGAAGACTGAAGAGATATTTTTAGGCAGCCATTGGAAGGATGCAACAGGATTGTAATGGCCCCTGGATCCTATGCCCTTTTATCAGAGAAGCTAGACCTTTAGTTCCTGGAGTGAAGATCTCTTTTATATGGATGTCAATATTGTAGATATGTAGAGTAACAGTATTATTACCTACCTAATGTATATGGTTTTCACTTTGTGCCAGCTCAAAATTCTTTTCGGGAATGAAGTTAAAAACTTTGTTTTTATTTGTGTAATAGATTATTTGGTTGCTCTATAAGAATCACTTTCACCTTCTATGAGATAAATTTTTACTTCAATTCACTCTGTTATGAGCTTTCACCTTAAAGTTTACAAAACAACTTCACAACACCTTATTTTCTCTATTAACCTTAGTTTCTTAGCTTTGTTTGATGGTTTGGAATATAATAATAATTTAAAAGAGTATACCTATGCTTCTTTTGTCTTTCATAATATATATATATATATATATATATATACATTATTTATTTTTTGCACAATTCACAATGTTTATGCATGTCTATAATCTTTGCAATTTTTGACATGTTTCTTATATTTGGATGACCGATATTTCCACTGACACCAACATTTTAAACCTTGTCTAGTACCTATTTACTTTGGTGTTCCTTTGGCAGTTAACTACAAATCTAAGGTGATGAGGGACATAGCGATTAACGATTCAGAAGAAATTTAATTAGGTGGAAGAAAGGAGCTACTTTCCAGAGGGTGTAAGCTTATTCTTATCAAGATTGTTTGAAGTTCTCATCTAAGGTGCATTTTCTGGGGGCAAGCATCTAAGGTGAAAGGTTAATGATTAAGAGGTCGATCCCCTAATGCAGCAAGGCCAGCCATGTTGTATGGAGCAGAGTGCTTGGCAGTCAAGAAACATGTCCAAAAAATGAGTGTGGCAGAAATGTGAATGCTGAGATGGAAGAGTGGAAAGCTAGAAAGGATATGGTTAGAAATGATGTCATTAAAAGAAACTAGTAGCAGCTTCAATAGGTGATAAAATGAGAAAGTAAACTAAGATGGTTTGGTCACATGACCTTTGACAGCACCCGTAAGAAGAAGTAATGTGTTGCAGGTCGAAGGGGTTAGAAGACATAGGGGTAGACCAAAAGGGACATGGGATAAGTTTTGGACGATGATGATGATAATGATTAATGTAACTTCAAGCATCTGCCTTATTCTTTTATTACTTTAAAATGGAGTAGCATGTCCCATTTAGATAAAAAACAGTAGCTAAATATCCACCATAGAACTTCAAAAGAGGGCGCTACATAAAAATGAAAAGAAAAAAGAAACATTTGACTAGGGGACAATACATCAAGAATGTTATTAAAACAACAAGGATTCGAAGAGCCCCACGTCTCAGAATTAAGACAAAAGACTACTATAGGAAGTCATTTTATTAACATTGTTAATACATCACCAAGATTACTTTTCCAATATGAGATAATTTGAAAATTGGAACTTGAAATTTCTTTCCCCAAATATTCACAGGTGTAAATCACATATCTTGCAGGGATCCCCAATCAGGTTGACAAGGTAACATAGATGGATACAAGTGTCAGCAAGTTGTAGCTTCAAATATTAAGCTGATCCAAGTTTTAAACATGAAAGCCCAAAAACTGAAGAGACGAGCATGCACCTATATGCTTATATTCTTGACAGCCATGTTAAGGTTTCAAAGACTTACCTCCATGGTCCTTCTTCAATGGCGAGTACGCCCAGTTTCCGGAACAATCCACCCTGCACCGAACCGGGTTAACTCGAACTGCGCCCGGTGCTGTCACTGTAGTTGCGTCTGAGAGCAGGATTGAAGATATTTTGGCTCGATTGAAGCCGGGAAAAGGAGGAGCGTGTGCTATAGACGAGGAAGAAGAATATGATGACGACGATGAAGAGAAAAGGCGTTTACAGAGGGAGAGAGCGGACTGGGAGTGGTGCTTGGAAATGAAAGCTCGAGCAGCGGCCATGGATGCTATCAATTGGGTTTGAACTTTGAAGCAGAGTTGTATATGCTTCAGGGGGGATTCAGGAGTTGGAGACGAACACTACGACAACAATAAAGAATAAATAATTAGCTTGACAAATAAACTCCCTCGTCTGCGTCACTTTCCTCGAGACTCGAGAGTACAATTTTGTTAAGCCCCTTCAAAAGTTTGATCCAGTGTTCCGAGTTCCAACCTTTTAGACATCAGAGCGTGAAGCGAACAAAATCCAACTGTGGAATGTTCCCGATTTTGTTAGGGTCAGCATATCCGAAACAAACACCAGACCCGATCCATTCTATATTTGATTTTGGGATCCGTTCTACATTTGATTTTGGCCACTCGGCAATGGCAAACTGGCAAGGGCGTGGTACGTCCCCGACCCTGAATTCATATACATGGTTTTTAAAACCGAACCGTTCAGGGTCCGGTTACTGGGTCGAATGGTCCAATCATTCAAACCAAATGTTTGGCCCGTTTTAACAAAAAAATAAAAAATGGTCAAACTGTTCGAATCCCGGTTTTTCCTGTCTGACCGTTTAGTCCGATCTGATTTTGAAATCCATGCTCATATACCCCATCCCACCTTGTTCCGAGCAAAGTTTGGCCAAATGCAATAGCTGTGGAATCAATGATAAGGTTCCACCTCAGTATTTAAATACATGGGCTTAGACTTTTTACAGTAGGGTCCATGAATTTATCAATGTTAAACAGCCATCTTGTTCAGCTAATCCGAATTCCCTATCCCCATTCCATACCCAACCGGGCTAAAAATCCCAATTCCATTTCTATTCATGTTCAATAGGGATCCCCAAATTTACTTGGCCCCATTTATTTCTAATATAACTAGAGAATGACCCCGTACTAAGTACGGGGTTAGTATTTTTTGATAGTTTTTATTTTGTTTAAGCAAAATATGTCTTAACTTTTTATTATTATTTCTTTATTTTTTAAAGATTATTTGTATTGTAATATTTAATAAATTAATTTTTTGTTGTTATTATTAAGTATTTAATTAATGATTTTATTATCATAGATTCATAATAATTATTATAATTAAAATTTTTATTGTCAAAATTTAAAGATTAATCAAAATGTAATATTTACTTAATTATTTAATTAAAAGATTAATATTATTTTTAATTAATAATGGTGATGATTATTTTCTTATATTCTTAATAATAATTAGTATTTAATTATTGAGTATTGTTATTATAATAGATTTTCTAATTATGTTTGTGACTAAAATAACCACTTTGACAGCTTTTTAGGAGTAGATGAACCCACTTGGAATGCTGTTTAATTAAATTTTAGGATGCCACCACATGTTTGAAGGGAGGGGACTGTTGCCCGACGACCTTCTTACATATATATTATCCACTCCACCTTAGAATTGGTAAATTATTTTTCCAAATGTATTTATGCCTAGGTCCCCCCTATAGACACCATCACCGAGTGAATTTGGCATCCTTCCCCATTAATATTGATTGAACTGCACAATCAAATTATGAATTCTGAGGTGGGGTGGACAGTAAAACCCCCTTAAATATATAATATAATATTAATATACACATACTAGAGTTTTTAGTTTCCTTGAAACATGCGGTCAAATTGCCATCACTAGCTAGCTCTAATGATGCCATATCTGCTCCTCACAGGCTCACACCAACCTCACAGCACATTGCAAGTGCACATCAGGAACATCTCCCTTGCATGTTGTCATTCATGGGGAGATGTTCCCAAGGTGTGAGGATCAGGTCTGGATTCTGCTTTGGATGTCTCCCAGTCTAGTTGGTAAGGTCTCCTCTCCTATTGGTTGTAAAGAGAGGTGGAGACTTAGCTCTGTTTGAGAGTACTTATTTTTCTAAGCATTTCTTCGAATAAACACTTATTTTAGGCTGGGGCTACATCAATAAGTACTTATATACATTTGGAAAAAGAGTTGAGTAAGTGTTTATTCCAAAAAATAAGCCTATTTTGGATGAGCCAAAATTTTGGCTTATTTTTAAGCGCTTTCCACTAAGTGCTTATTGCATCTTTGGCCCATATTGGTCTGTCATGTAATTTTCAAAAGACCTATACAAAAAAACACTTTTTCACGATAACACTCATAAGCACTTATCTTGTAAATATTTATTTATCCAATAAACACTCCCAAACAAGGGCTTAGGATCAAATCCCACCTGCACCAAAATTAGGGGAGTTATGGTTTGGAGGGGTGGGGGATGGACTACCCCACATTGTGTAACCCCGTGGAGCCATTTTAATGTACAAGGCATGCTTCCAATGTGCATTTATAAGATTGCACAACCAATTATTAGGTTTGGAAGATGGATTTCGGACTTGTGATTGCATATGGTGTGAGGATAGGGATGGACATGTATCAAGCTACTCATGAGTCGTTCAGCTTGGACCACAAAAAGCTTGAGACGGTTTTGATGTAGCGCGATCTGGGCACTCCTAGCTAGCAGACGTCTGGCTCCTAACTGGCGATGGACGAAACCTGAGAAGAGGAAGTTGAAGGATTCCCAGGGAGCTCGCCCGATGGGAATGCTCCGATGCTTAAGTTAGAACTCTGAGAGAGCTGTAAGAAATGCAAAGAGAGCTAAGAGTGCAGATAGCGCTAGATCAGTTCAATTACCCTCACCCCTTGGAAACCGAGGCCTTTAAATACAGATGTTCTTGTCAAATCGGGCGTAACCGCCACTGGCCCTTTGTTGCAGCCGTTATTTGCCAGGGCTGCATAGGTAACCGCTGCAGAGTACTGCCCAATCTGATGAGAGACACGACCCGGAAAGGACAGACACGCCGCCACCTGTCGAGAGACGTGGGTGCAGTCCGCTGGGCTGGCAGGGACTGCACCGTCATTCAGGAGACATGGTGCAGTCTGACGGGTACGGTCTTGTCAGATAAGAAGCTTCCTGAAAACGCCGCGTCACTCAATAACGAGCTGCCTTGTAGCGAGCTATCCCATAGCGAGCTCCTAGAGGTATCCCGAGGTGATTCCGCCTGAGGTTGCCTTTGAGGCGGTCCTCTTGCCTAAGTATTGGAGCGAGCTGATTATCCCAGCTCGCGAGCTAGGATAGACTTAGCCTGGAGTGTTCCCTTTCAGCATACTGGGGTCCTTGAGCTCGCGCTGTAGTGAGCTTGTTCCATGGCGAGCTGACCTGCGAGGACTTTAACGAGCTCGTTACACAGTTGTAGTCATGCTGTCACGTTGAGTTGTTACTTATGCTGAGTCACGTCCACGTGTCACCTTCTTAGGAGATCGGGTCAAATCACCCTCCATCAGGTTTGGTCCAAATTGAGTTTCAAACCAAGGTTTAATTGAACCAAGCTCAATAGTATGAAGCTTGGATTGTGATGCTCACAAACCTAATCAAACTTTTATTTATATAATATTTTTTATTTTTTATATGAAGCTTAACTTGATGTTGAGCTTGAGCCAAGCCGAAGTTAAACATATAAGCTTTTGAGTCGAGCCAAATTTGAGCTAGTATTTCTAAATCGAATTGAGATTAAGTCCAAACTCAACATTTTTGCTTTTCTACTGAACCAAGTTCAAATAGTCAAACATTGACCCTGGTTTATCTTATATCCACCCCTATTTGGGGATGCTTTAGATAGCTTTGGCCCCATAGACAATATTATAAGACTTGGATCAGATTGAAAACCAGAATGTTCATATTGGATCGCAGTTTTGCCGGTTAATTGAATGGTTAACCATTTGGTCCTAAGTCTTTTTAGTTCAAGTGTTAATAATGGGACCATTACCTTTATATGGATGTAATGGTCTGGATATGATACCAGCAAGACAAAGGGAGGTGCTTTTTTCACATATTAATTGCATACATTACACGGAAATTAGGGGGAAATAGGGTGCATACAAGGTCCATTGGCCACACTAGGGAGAGCCTATGGTTCTACGGGTTTGATACCAATTTAATTTAACAATCGACATAGAGGCTAAACTATTTTTTGCCTTTTGGGTTGTAGCTCACTAGTTCAATTGTTTAGGACAAACGGGTCATACCATGCCACGTCATATATGCATATATTTATATGCACCAATTTATGCTTAAATTTTATTTTAATTTTTATTCATAGAAATGTTAAAATTTGTGATTTGAGGCCAAAAAGGTTTACTTTTAGGCTCTATTTGGTTTGTGGGATGGGGATGAGAAAAAGAGAATATTCTCTTTTCTCTCATTTGTTTTGAGGGAAAGAGAGGGATGGGATGAGAAAAGTGTGAAATGTCACATCCCAAAATCATAGATTTAGGGTCACACCAAAACCATGCGACCCCAGTGGAAAAATTTGAAAAATCACTGTTGACGAATAGGAAGTGCCTCCCCTTCCCCGTTCGAAGTAGCGGTGGCTTCTTGGTTCAAAGCAGAGAACCAGATCTGCTACCTTCTTGGTTCGAAGCAGAGAACCAGCAACGAAGAAATCACTTTTACCTCCCCTTCCTCGTTCGAAGCAGCGACGGCTTCTCTTCGAAGCAGAGAATCAGAGCAGAGACTACTACCTTCCTTGCTCGAAGCAGAGAACCAACGACGAACTGTTATCGGCGGCGGCGACTTCTCTTTATTATTTTGTTACCTTCCCCGTTCGTGGTGGCTTCTCTGGTTCGAAGCAAAGCAGCGGCAGCGGCTTCTCAGGTTTGAAGCAGAGCAGCGTTGGGTTTTGAGGAGGAACGACATTGAGTTGCCTTACAAGGAGCTAATGGGTTATGAAAAGATGACAACTATGGAAGAATGCTAGAGTTCCTATGACAGAAACTGCAATTGTTGGGTTACGTGATTGGGATTGTTCTGCTGGTAAGAGAAAGCTTGATCTTCGTCGGGATTGCTGGGTTTGGAGCTTATAGGATCTTGAGGAGGAGAGTGAAAGGGAGACTCGGGGAGGAGGGGATATCACCCAGTCCTTATAGAGATTTGGGTTCAGCGAGCTTTTGATCGATCGAGATGTGCAAATAGTGATGACAGTAATGGGTTCAGTGAGCTTTCTGCCAGCGAACTACTGTTCATCTTCATGAACAGAGCACCCCACGACTTCCTCTTTGTCACAGTGCTTTTTACACTTTCCCATTATTTTCCCACATCTACAACCAAACAATGGAAGTGTAAATTTTTACACTTTCCCATCCCATCCTATCCCATCCAAACTTTCCCTCAAACCAAACGGAGCCTTAGTAAAAATAGGCACCATGGGCTGCATAGATCTCAAAAAGT